CTCCTTGGTGAGGTTTATTCCTAAGTCTTTTTTTTGCGCGGTACGCGGGCCTCTCACTGTTGTGGCCTCTCCCGTTGTGGAGCACAGGCTCCGGACACGCAGGCTCAGCTGCCATGGCTCACGGGCCCAGCCGCTCCGCGGCACGTGGGATCTTCCCAGACCGGGGCATGAACCTGTGTCCCCTGCATCGGCAGTCAGACTCTCAACCACTGCGCCACCAGGGAAGCCCCCTAAGTCTTTTTTGATGCAACTTTAAGAGACTGTTTACATTCCCTTTCTGACATCTCACTGTTAGGGTAAAGGAATGCAACCGATTTCTGTATGTTAACCCTGTATCCTGCTACCTCGCTGAATTTGTACTACTACTGTTCTAGTAGTTTTTGTGTGGAATCTTTAGGGTTTGCTATATATAGTATCATGTCATCTGCATATAAGGACAATTTTACCTCTTCCCTACCAATTTGGATACCTTTTATTTCTTTTTCTTGTCTGATTGCTGTGGCTAGGACTTCCAATACTATGTTGAATAGAAGTGGTGAGAGTGGGCATCCTTGTTTCAGATTTTAGCAGGAAGGCATTCAGATTTTCACCACTGAGTATTATATTGGCCATGGGTTTGTCATAAATAGCTTTTATTATGTTGAGATATGTTCCCTCTATACCCACTTTTTTTTTGGTAAGAGTTTTTATCATGAATGGATGTTGAATTTTATCAAATGCTTTTTCTGCATCTATTGAGATGACCATGTGGTTTTTACCTTTTCTTTTGTTGATGTGGTATATCACATTGATTGATTTGTGTATGTTGAACTATCCTTGTGATCCTGGGATGAATCATACCTTGGTCATGGTGTATAATCTTTATGTTTTGTTGGATTCAGTTTGCTAATTGTGACCAGCTCGCAGGCTGATGGTTCCTCTTCCACCACCTGAATGAGGGTCCAGCCAGCTATCCTTAGCACTGCATGGTATTCCAGTTATCTATTGCTGCTTACTTAGCAAACCACCCCAAAACTTAGTGCTGTAAAATAACATCCACTTTATCACGTTTACAATTCTGAGAGTCAGGAATTTGGGCAGAGCACGGCAGTTCTGCTCTTCTGCTCCACAATATCTGGGGCCTCCACTAGGTAACTCAGGTGACTGCAGATGCTGGGACGGCTTGACTGGGGCCATCTGTCTGGGGCCTTGGTCCTCTGTGTGGCATCTCCTGGAGCTTGAGTGTCCAGTATCACTCCTTTGCTTCATATCTGGAGCCTGGGCTGGGGTGGCTGCAACTGCTGTTTCTCTCCAGGCAGCCTCTTCCCCTGGCCAGCTTGGACATACTCACAACATGGTGATCTCAGGGAGGTCAGACTTTTTATATGTGGCTGGTTTCCCTCAGAGGGAATGTTCCAGGAGGCCAAGGTGGAAGCTGAGAGACCTCTCACAGTGTAACCTCAGAAGTCCCAGCATGTCACTTCTGCACGTTCTGTTAGTTAAGAAAGTCAGTACAACCAGTCCAGATTCAAGGAGGTGGAGGAGCAGACTAGCCCTCTCAACAGGCCCCCTCACACCATGGCGTGAGGCAAGGGGAATGGTGATGGCTGCCACCTTGGAGACAAGCTACCCACACAGGAGGGTAAGAACAGAGACTTTTTTGTTTGAAGTATAGTTGATGTACAGTGCTTCAGGATTTCAGCAGTAATTCAGTTTCATATATGTGTGTGTGTGTGTGTGTGTATGTGTATGTATATGTATATTTGGTTCGAGTATAATGTTTAATGTAAGATACAGTGGATTGGCAGAGTTGATACGAAGTTAAGAGATTTACTTCTAGTCAGTAAGTTAACAACCTAGGCACCGGCATATATATATATATATATATATATATATAATACACACACACACACACACACACACACACACACACACACACACACACACACACACACACCACATTTTCTTCATTCATCTGTTGATGGACATTTAGGTTGCTTCCATGCTCCATGTCTTGGCTATTGTAAATAGTGCTGCTTTGAACATTGGGGTGCATGTATCTTTTTGAATTAGAGTTAAGAACACAGACTTTTGAGTCACAAATATTGGTTCATAGCACTGCTCCGTAACTTTCTAGCTCTGTGATGTCAGATAAATTACTTCACCTCTCTGAGCCTCAATTTCCTCATCTATAAAATAAGGATAATGATATTCTACTACAGGTGATTGTGGTTAAGACTTAAAGGAGATAAACCTAGTGCTTGGTACAATGCCTAATATCTGCGAAGTCCTCACTTAATGGTAGCCATACTACCTATAGTGATAACCAGTAGTGTTATTACTCCGGCTTGCCCTTTAGATATTCATTCATTCACTCAGCAAACAAGCCTCTGTTGTGATTGTGTGCCTACTGTGTGCTAGGCACAGTCTCTGGCCCTGGCCTCCCACAGTTGTGAAGACGATGATATGTTGTAAGCAGAAACTAAGTGGGCTTTCAGGCTTTCTGAGCAGCGTCCCTGGCTCTTCAGTGCCAGGCAGCATCTCTGGGGTCAGCAAGCCTGGCTCAAAGGAGGAAGCAAGGGCTTGTCACCTAAGCCTCGCTGACCAGATTACGGTAGCATTTTTGGCCCTTTCCTGTAGTGCCTTCTGCCCTCGCAGTAACTCTCCTCCCATTTTCAGTAGTGGGGACATTTCTAAGGAGAGGCTGGAGAAATGAACCCGCCTTCCCATTCACATGTGTGTCCTCAGGTCCCATCTGATGAGGATCTGTGCCCTCAAGGGCCCCGGTACTTTGGTAGCACAGGACTCTGCGTGCAAAGCCCCATCAGCAACCAGCTGCTCCTTGTGGGCTGTCACTGGCATCCAGAATTGCAGCCTCAAACACCGAGGTGACAGAAAGTGTAGGAAAGGTAACCATCTCCAACTCTTTACAGATCATAAAAAGAACTCTTAAAATGCAGCATTCTACATGAAACGAAAAGCAAGACATCAGGGAGAAAGAATGCAAGCCAAACTAAGGAAACGCTGCTTGGCAGGAAACCTCACAGTCTGGTCTGGTCTCTGTGTCTTATCTCAGCAATTTCCTAACACCAGGAACTTCTTTACAATGAAAGGAGGGCAGAGCTTCTAACCCAGAAGCTTCCAAAAACCTTTAGCCTTCCCATCAAAATCTTGTGAAAATCTCACCTGCTCAAATGAGCATCTTTAGCTTTCATTTGAAGACACTGGAACTTTAAGTAAATCTCACTTTCAGGAACTTGTTTCTAGGTTAACGATAATGGAATTCACACTCATTAAGCACCTTTGTTCCGGCATCAAAAAGCAACATGTCACAGAACCGCTGCATCTGCCATCTTTCCCTTAGTCCAGTTGCCCACAGAGCGTGAATATCTGCTACGTGTCCCTGACAGATAGACAGCCACTATCTCCACAGCACCTGTGGACAGGAGTCCGGACTTCATAGGGACAGCCAAAGCCCAAAGCCCCAGGCCCCCTTTCCAGGGGACCCATTGCACACCAGGCAATGGGCAACACTGGTGGTGCCGCAAGTGCCAGGCGTAGGCACTGAGGGTTCAGCCCTCCTGGTGCAGCCACGGCCGGAGCTGTCCGACAGCCCTCCACTGTCACTTGTCGGTGCATTACTAATTTTCTAGTCTGACGCATGCTTGGAGGCAAACTCGGGCCCCGAGCTCCTTGCGGGAAGTGCTCAGCTGGCTGTGCAAGGCTGGGTCTCCAGTAAGCACACGTCTGTCTTGAGGGGCCATGGCTTCTTAACAAGTAGCTCAAGAGGAGAAGACACATCCTCTGTCAGACCAGTTCTCACACTCAGAGGCGTTTCCCCTCGGGCTTGGGCCTAAACCCCGGCAGTCCGGCGTGGATGTGAAATCCGGTCCGTCTGGAGACCCGTGGGCCTCTTCCACACGAGCCCTGACAGCCATGCCGCGTCTCCCTCCATCTTCGTCAAGTGAGAACGGTCCTCAGCGGATCTCCCCAGAATCATGGGAATCAAGATGCTCTGTGTGCTTGACTGGGACGGAGGGAGCAGGGGTGTGCAACATCAGCAAAAGCAATTTCTGTGGTTTTGAGGGAAAACCACACAGCCTTTCTAGGGGCGCTCATGAGCGTGGAAATGGGACAGACCACACTGGCTCTCAGCTGGTGCAGTGGTTGAAAGCAAGCTCTCTGTGACCCACAGGCATCCAGCTCTTTGATGCGCTGTGACCTCAGGGTCTTGTCGAGACCCTGCTTCTGTGGGGTCAGACCATGTCCTGTTTTCTCAGTGAGAGCAGACAGGGTGGGACTGTGCTCAGAAGAGAAGGCAGAAATGAAGAGTACGAATCTGGAGACGAGAAGCTAGACGTCCTGAGGGGAGTGATTGAAGGTCCAAAGGAAAGAACTTCTCTCCCAGACACTGCTAGGCATGGCATTCGAGCCTGACAGGATCTCCTGTCTCTTGCTGATTCGATGATAAAATATGGAGTGGACCCACAGGGAGAGCAAACGCCTCAAGAAATAGATGGATAATTGGCTCTGTTTGCATGCTCGCTGTGAGTGTGAGACGCCACACCAGCATGACTAATGCCTCTCCCCTCTGCCTAAATTAGATTTTGATTGTGTCTCAGAGATGTTCACTGAATCACAGATGTTGGAGGTAAAAAGACCCCAACTTCTCAGGAACACCTCCTGTGGAGTGTGTGGGATCCTCCTCCCAGGCTGAGGGACCCCTTCCCTTCCGAGACCTGGGAGCAAAGCAGCCACCCCGGATGGAGCAGGCTCCGGGGTCCCGGTGCAGGCTCCTTAGGTGGCTGTAAGCAAGTGCATCGCGTCAGTAACTGATGCCTCGTACAGACCCTAAATTGGACCCAGTGTCCTGTTTGTCAGATTTCCCCTGGCTCTCTGCCACATCATGGGGAGCAGTTCAGGGTCCTTGCCGGTTCACCCCCTCGGTGTTCCGCAGCCACTCTGTTCTGATCTGGAAGATGGAAGATGCTGTCATAAATGCTTTCTCATTTCTCTTGCAGAATTTAGCCTACGAGATCATCCTAACGCTGGGACAGGCATTTGAAGTTGCTTACCAGCTCGCACTGCAAGCCAGGAAAGGGGGGCATTCCTCCACGCTTCCAGAAAGCTTTGAAAACAAGCCCTCCAAGCCCATCCCCAAGCCCCGAGTCAGCATTCGCAAGTCGGTGGTAAGTAGAAAAGACACAGATGTTCTGAAAACCTTGAACTGGAGGGGAGGGGTCCTCGGTGCCGTGGGGGCTGGCGAGAATCCAGGGCCTGCCCCTCTTGTCCTTCCCTCGGCCTCATCCTGGCATGTGTCTGTCCTCCTCTCAGCCCAGTTCCTGCAAAGTCTTGGGGACCATCTGCCTGAACTTGGAGGCTCCCAAGAAAATTCCACTTCTTTTGTCCCTTGCAGCAGCCTGTGAGGGGACTGGGCGCTGCTGACCCCCCGGGGGAGTCTTTCTTCAAGGTCCAGGCGATCTTGGGAACAAGGATCCCTGAGGCCCCGGCTGCCATCCCTCTAGGGGACAAGCCTCTCACAAGCCGCTGGGCAGCAGAGAGGGTGGCAGAGGCTCACGGGGAGGGCATCCCTGGTACCCAGCTAGAGGAGACTGGAGGTGCAGGCTGTACGCGGGCCTGACAAGGAGGCCTAGGCGCAGGCTTCCTTCAGAGCGGGGACTGTTCAGAAGGTACCGCCCCTCCTCCCCAGCATCTGCCTCCCTCCAGAAATTTCCCCCCTTCCCTCCCACACGCTGTGCACACATCCTGTCCTAACAGACTTTCATGACTTCAAAGCGACCTCCTCTGGTGGTAGCGATACCCAGAAGCTGGAAGTCTCCCGTCTGGTTTCTGCTGCCGTATGGCATCCTAGAAACTCTGGGACTCAGGGCAGCAGGCACCCTCAGAGGCATCGCTCAGCCCACGTATCCTTCCGCCTGTGACTCTCTTCCCCCCCCCCCCCCCCCACCCCCCCCCCGCCCCAGCCTCTCTCTGCCCGTCCGTCCCATGCCAGTCTTCTCTCAGTTCCTCAGATGCTTCCTGCTCTCTCTTTCCACAGGTACCCCACCTGGAAACTCTTCCCTCAATCTTCACCTGGACTCCTGTCCACCTCACCTTTCAGCTCTCAGCTCAAACACACTTCCTCAAGGAGGCCTTCCCTGGCCTCCTATTTGGTCCATTCTCCAAACCAACCCACACTTTTACAAGTTGCCAGCATAGTTCACCCTCCAACAAGGAGCAGGAACTGGAAGAGGATGTGAGGGGAGCACTTCTGGGTGCTGGTAAAGTTCTGTGTTCTTGATCTGGTGCAACACAGGAATGTTGCGGTTCTGAGAATCCATCAAGCCATACACTTATAGTATGTGCCCTCTTCTATATGTATACAATACCTCAACAAAAAGCTTTTAAAAATACCCAGGACATGGCTTCCCTGGTGGCGCAGTGGTTGAGAGTCCGCCTGCCGATGCAGGGAACACGGGGTCGTGCCCCGGTCCAGGAAGATCCCACATGCCGCGGAGCGGCTGGGCCCCTGCGCCATGGCCCCTGGGACCGCGCGTT